TACAGCCAACCGGGGGGGAAACGACCCGGTCGACCGTCCGGTAGGACCCGTCCGGTTCCGGTTGGGGGAGGGCCCCCCGGTCCTACCGGGTTTACAGCACTGCTGCGAAATCCTTTCTCTTTTTCTTTTTCACCAAGAGAAATCCTGTTGATGAACAGATCATGAGTTCAATCCTGATGCCATTAGCCCGCATTTCGCACCAGCACTGCGTAATCCAGACCAAAAGCATTTCAATATTCATATATTCGAGTATTTCCAAATTTACAATTTCGAATTTGTGAAACTTCCTTACAGCCTCGTCACGAAAGCTGGGCTGCGTATCAGAAGAACACTTGGACCGTACTCGCATTTCGCAGCAATTTTTTGGACAAATGTGGCCGTAATTATGGTCAGGAACATCCCAGAAAGCCCTAGTATGTATGCCCTTATGCTGCCCAAAAAGGTCTCCCAGGCTCTTGCAGACGCTTAAACCACCAGTGCTTCCGAGCCTCTCTTTTTCCCGAGGCTCGAAACACCCTGCGTGCCAAAAAAAACGAACCAGCACGGGGCTCCTTTTTGGTCGGCGCCCCCATCCACTTTGCTCCAGCAGCCAATCCCCAAAAGTTGCCTGTGCATCCCGCCGCGTCGGAGTAAGATGGCTGGTAAACGTACTGGTGGTTCAAGCATTTGTGTTTGTGTGTGTGTGTGAAAAGGAAGGAGCAGGAATGAAAGGACGGAAGAAACTCAAGACACTATAGGCCTCGCTCTTCTACGCAACGCTCCACATGTATCTGGAACCCAATGTGGTACAATACATTCAAAATGTTGGACCAGTCCAAATGTATCTGTTCGTCTTAGAGTCCACTTTATGTCTGCTGTTGAGCAGTGGAGCTACACCCTATCCATCTCTTTGAATGAGACCAACGCCATGTCACCGCCCGAAATCGAGGGTTCCCTGCAGAGGCTCATGTGTGTTGTCATGTTCGCTATACAGTGTATACACAACTCCACAAAAAAAGCATGGCTGTGCCAGACTGTTCCATCAGACTTTCACCGACTCACCATCAGGAGGTTTAGAAAGTGTGTGTGTGAGACAGAGACAGACAGACACAGAGAGAGAGAGAGAGAGAGAGAGAGAGAGAGA